AAAATTAAAAAAGACGGTGATGTGGAGGGAAGGAAAAAAGTAGGGGGGGGGGGGAGAAACGCACAAATGAAGAAAAACCAAAAGAAGAATACAGGTCTTACACAGACGCCTGGGAAATCAGACACTGAGAAAACAGATTCGGGAACACAGACAATGAAGAGTCCCCAGAATGACTGGTTACATGCAACAAACCCAGACATCAAGACATTAACGGAGAGAATTAAAAAAAAATTGAGGACAGACAAGAGGAAAATAGGAAGGAGCTGATGTCAGAAATGACAGCAGTAAAGAATATTGTGATGGAAATAAACAACAGACTACTAAGCACGGAAAGCAGAATCAGCCAAGCAGAAGAAAGAATCTCAGAGCTCGAAGACCAAAACACAGAACTAACCCAAACTGTCAAAATCATAGAAAAGAAACTCAAAAAGACAGAACAAAACCTGTAAGAGATGAATGATCACTTCAAGAGACCAAACCTAAGAGTAATTGGGCTTCCTGAGGCAGAAAGAGAAACAGAAGCCACACTGGAACAAACATTTCATGAAATCATTCAAGAAAACTTCCCTCATCTCATTAAGGATGAAAAAATTCAAACACAAGAGATTCAGAGAACCCCTGCAAGACAGCAAATGAGAAGACCAACTCCCAGACACATAATAATTCGCCTAAACAAAGTAGCTATGAAAGGAAAAATCCTAAAGGCAGCAAGAGAAAAAGGGTCAGGACTACCTACCAGGGAAAACCAATTAGAATAGCAGCAGATTTATCCACAGAAACCCTTCAGGCCAGGAGAACCTGGAGCCCTATCTTCAAAGTTCTGAAAGAGAAACAATTTCAACCAAGAATAACCTACCTAGCCAAACTAAGCTTCATTAGTGAGGGAGAATTGAAATCTTTTCCAGACATCCAATCCCTAAGAACCTATGCTGCCACCAGACCACCTCTACAAGAAACACTAAAGAAAGTACTGAACACAGAAGAAAAAGAAAAAAGAACAACAGCATTCTTCACAAGAGTACAGGCAAAAGATTAAAAACACACATGAACCAACTCGAAAACCCAAAGAAAGACAACAAATAAACAGGAACAACTCTGTAAGAACCTTATGACAGGGATCAATTATTGCATTTCAATTATTAGCCTAAATGTGAACGGACTAAATGCACCACTGAAAAGACATAGAATGGCAAAATGGATAAAATATCATCAGGCAACAATCTATTGCCCTCAAGAGACTCACCTCACTAGAAAGGACACCCACAGACTCAAAGTAAGAGGATGGGAAACAAACTTCTAGGCGAATGGAATACAAAAGAAAGGAGGAGTAGCGATCTTAATTCCAGACAAAATACCCTTCAAGCTATTAAAAATCAAAAAGATACAGAAGGCCACTACATAATGATAAAAGGCTCAAACCATCAACAAGAAATATCTATCCTAAACATATACGCACCCAACATAGGTGCGCAAACTTTCATAAAGCAACTTCTTGGAAAACTAAAGAAAGATATTGACTCTAACACTATCATAACTTGGGACTTTAATACCCCACTCACAACCCTAGACAGATCATCAGGACAAAAAATCAGCAAGGAGATCTGGAACCTCAATGTGACTTTGAACCAAATGGACTTAATTGATACCTACAGAACACTCCATCCAAAGACCATAGAATACACATTCTACTGATCACCACATGGAACATATTCTAAGATTGACCACATACTCAGCCATAAATCAAGCATAAGCAAATTTAAAAGGACCGAAATTCTACCAAAAACCTTCTTAGACAACAGTGGAATAAAAATAAACATTGACACCAACAAAGTCCCCCCAAAACCCATAAAGACATGGACACTAAATAGCATGATGCTAAACAACTCCTGGGTGAATGATGAAATCAAAACAGGGATCAAAAGATACCTGGAAACAAATGAAAATGAAGAAACATCTTACCAGAATCTCTGGGATGCCCTGAAAGCTGTAGTAAGAGGGGAATTTATATCCCTACAAACACACATGAAGAAAATGGAAGGAACAGAAATTCACAACCTAACAAGTCACCTAAAGAAGCTGGAAAAGCAAGACCACAAAAAGCCTAATTTCAGCAGAAGAATCCAGATCACCAAAATAAAAGCCCAAATCCAGGACATAGAAGACAAAAAGATAATAAAAAAAATCAATGAAACAAAAAGCTGGTTCTTCAAAAGGGTAAACAAGATTGATGGTCCTCTAGCTAGACTGACCAAGAAAAAATGGGAAAAAAAACCAAATAAGCACAATCAGAAACACAAAAGATGAAGTCACATCTGACCCTGAATAAATACAAAAGATCATTAGAGACTACTGCGTACACTTGTATGGAAACAAACTTGAAAACCATAAGGAAATGGAGGACTTTCTGACATCACACAACGTACCTAGATTGGAACAAGAAGAAATTGAGACCCTAAATAGACCAATAACAATCAAGGAAATTGACTACATAACAAGAAAACTTCCTACAAAAAAAACCCCTAGTCCAGATGGCTTTCAGGCAGAATTCTACAAGATATTCAAGGAGGAGCTGATACCAATCCTACTGAAGGTATTCCAGGTGATTGAAAAAGATGGAACTCTCCCCAAATCATTTTACGAAGCCAACATCACATTGATACCCAAGCCAGATAAAGATCCAACAAAGAAAGAGAACTACAGGCCAATATCTTTGATGAACATAGATGCTAAAATTCTCAACAAGATCCTAGCAAACCGGATTCAGCAATACATCTCAAAAATCATCCACCATGACCAAGTAGGCTTCATTCCTGGGATGAAAGTCTGGTTCAACATTCGTAAAACCATAAATGTAATTAAATACATCAACACATGTCAAAACAAAAACCACATGATCATATCATTAGATGCAGAAAAAGCTTTTGATAAAATCCAGCATCCCTTCTTGATAAAAACCATTGAACATCTAGGCATACGGGGAACATACCTCAAAATGGTAAAAGTCATCTATGAGAAGCCCACAACCAGCATACTCCTAAATGGACAAAAATTGGAACCAATTCCCCTGAAAACTGGAACTAGACAAGGATGCCCACTCTCTCCCCTCCTGTTCAACATAGTATTGGAAGTCCTGGCTAGAGCAATCAGAGAAGAGGAGGCAATCAGAGGTATTCAAATAGGAAAAGAGGAAGTCAAGTTATCTCTCTATGCAGATGATATGATTGTGTACCTTGAAAACCCAAGAGAATCTGTCAAAGGCCTCCTTACATTGATAAAGGCCTTTGGCAAAGTCTCAGGATACAAAATAAATGTACAAAAGACAATCGCATTTCTCTACACCAGTAATAAACAAACAGAAACCCAAATAAAAAACACAATTCCATTCACAATAGCCACAAAAAAAAATGAAATACCTTGGCATCTTCCTAACCAGAGACATGAAAGACCTTTACAATGAAAATTACAAAACACTGCTCAAAGAAATCAAAGCTGACACAAACAAGTGGAAAAATATCCCATGCTCATGGCTCGGAAGAATCAACATTGTGAAGATGTCCATCTTACCTAAGGCAATCTACAAATTCAATGCAATACCCATTAAATTACCAACAACATTCTTCTCAGACCTAGAAGAAACAATGCAGGAATTCATATGGAAACACAAACATCCAAGAATAGCCAGAACAATCCTCAGCAAAAAAAACAAAGCACGTGGTATCACAATACCAGACTTCAAACTTTACTATAAAGCTACAATCATCAAAACAGCTTGCTATTGGTACAGGAACAGTCATATAGACCAATGGAACAGAATTGAGATTCCAGAAGCAAAACCTCAATTTCTCAACCAGCTCATCTTCGACAAAACCCCCAACACCTACCAATGGGGAGAGGAGAAGCTATTCAGTAAATGGTGCTGGGAAAACTGTCTGACCACATGCAGAAGATTGAAACAGGACCCCTATCTATCCCATGCACAAGGTTAACTCCAAATGGATCAGAGACCTAAAAGTAAAACCTCAAACCCATAAGACCTAGAAAAGGAAGGAAATACTTCATGGAAATTGGAACTGGCATCAATTCCTGTACAAAACCCGAAACTCACAGGTCATAAGAGAGAAGATACACAAATGGGACCTTATTAAACTGACAAGCTTCTGCAAAGCCAAAGAAACCATCAAGAGAGCAGGGAGACAGCCTACAGACTGGGAAAAAGTATTTGCCAACTCTAGGTCTGACAAAGGCTTAACATCCTGGATCTACAAGGAAATGAAACGTACTGAAAAGAAGAAAACAAACATCCCTATTATAAAATGGGCAAAAGATATGAACAGACACTTCACAAAAGAAGACATTCGAGCAGCCAACAAACACATGAAGAAATGCTCAACCTCACTAATCATCAGGGAGATGCAAATCAAAACCACACTGAGATACCACCTAACTCCAATCAGAATGGCAATTATCAACAACTCAAAAAATAACAGCTGCTGGAGAGGGTGTGGTGAAAAGGGAACACTTCTACACTGTTGGTGGGAGTGTAAACTAGTGCAACCTCTGTGGAAAGCAGTGTGGCGATTCCTAAAAGCTCTAAAAATTGACCTTCCATATGACCCTGCATTACCCCTACTGGGAATATACCCTGAAGAACACAAATCACTCTATAAAAAAGATACCTGCACACACATGTTTATCGCAGCATTGTTCACAATAGCAAGAACTTGGAAACAACCATGCTGCCCATCAAAGAGGACTGGATTTAAAAATGTGGTACATATACACGATGGAATACTACGCAGCCATAAAAAAGAACAAAATCATGAATTTCACAGCAACCTGGATGGAACTAGAGTCTATAATACTGAGTGACCTCACACAGAAACAAAGATTCGAATATCATATGTTCTCACTCATATAATGGACCTTGAACATCCAATGTAATACTATAAGAAAATGACTGACAGTACTGGGAAACTATGGGGGGAGGGGGATGGGATTAACAGTAGCAAATATCTGTCTGGGGATGGGAAAACACCTCTTATCAACAGGGTGCCTGAATGAAACGTAATTGTACACCTAACCCTTAACTGTACCCCAGAAAACCATAATAAAAAATATTGATTAATTAAAAAAAAGAAAAAACAAAAACAAAAAAACTTTTTTAAAGCATTTCATCAGTAAGTGTACCTGATCAAACCAGGTGAAGTGGGGACCAAAATGGAGCTCAAACTTTATGTGTACAAAGACCATTTGTATACCACCCTGAATTGTACCCCACATCTTTAAAATAAAAGTTTAAAAAAGCCAAATATATATATATATATATATATATTTCAAGAGCCTTCGAAACCAAATAAACATTAACTAAAAACAAAGAGATCTAAATTTGTAACTATTGACTATATTGTAATAAAGATCAACAAATGCAATCGTGGAACTTATTACAACCATATGAAGAAATCATGTGAAATAGTTAAATACTATTAGCTTTATTATAAAAATAGTAACAACCACATTACCACTTATCTGTAATTCCAGTCACTGGGGAGGCTCAGGGAGGAAGATTGCTTTAGCCCAAGAGTTTGAGACTTCAGTGAGGCATGATCCTGCCTCTGCACTCCAGTTTGGGCCACATGGCAAGACCTTGTCTCCATAAAAGAAAAATTAATAGCAATTGTTAAATTAAAAAGCTAGCTTCTCAATTATTTCAACTATGTAAAAATATACACATTAAGGGAATAAAGCAGAAAGAAGTTTAAAATCAAAAGAAGCCTCAGTAAGGTCAGAGGTACCCTCATTTCCCTAAAAATTAAGGTAATGGTCTTTCTCAATGAAATATTTATACAAATGAACACCACACACTTTATTCAGATATTGCAGATGGTGAAGAATGTGTGCCAAGTACAGTCTGTGGGGCGCCTCTGCATGTCACCACGAACCTTCCGCATTCCTCCTCTATCCTCCCCTAAACCTTCACTCCAACTACAGACACCTCAGATGTCCCTTCCCCACCTCTCTAGGGACCCCCAGCATCAAGGTCTCCTCCCCCTCCAGGCCCTGCACCATCACTCTCACCTGCCCTCCATCCCACCTCTCCCACAGAGGCCACCAAGCACAAGCGGAAGGCCCCAGGGCCCCTCCTGCATCGCCTCCCACGACAGTCACACATGACAAAAGCTACACTCTCACAACACAATGGGAGTGTGGATTTATCTCACATTCGCCCTCAACTTCTTAGAATCCTAAAGGCTCAGGACATTTCCAGTAAAGGTAATTCCAGTAAAGGTAAATGCCTGAAAGAATTGATGAACTTCTCAGGAAACCGGAGGCAAGTTCACTGAAGCACAAAGTTAGGGGAAGAGGGGAAAAGATTAGACTGGAGAAATCACAAGAAACGATGTGCTTAAAAGTCTCTGAGCCTTTAGGATTCTGAGAAGTTCTCCCTCCCTTCCCTTCCCTCCTTCCTCTCTCCTCCACCCTCCCCCTCCTCCTCCTGTACCCCTTGCTCATTTTTCTCTCACACACAAAGACAGACTCTCCCACCC